TTTTATGTGAGCGGCACATCTCACAAGGTACAGTTATGGAACCTTACTGTTGGTTTCCAAACTTCATAATCCAGTAGTAAAGGCAGTTTAGTGATTTTTCAAGATTCTAACACTAAGAACCTATAAATATTAAGAAGGCCATAACCTATGACTAACTAGAAATCAATTGACTTTTGATTTTTGATGGACAGAATTGATTGTTCTCAAATGAGAAAATCACCTAGCTGGTCATGGTAGTGCATTTTTGTAATTGGCATCTTAAGAGGCAGAGACAAGAGGATTCCTACAAGTTTGAGACCAGCTTGGGCTACATAGTTCAAGGATAGCCTATGACACATGGTGACACAGTGTTTCAAGGAAAATAAAGAATTATCTTAATGGATACTTATTTTCTGTGGCAGTCTATAATGTCCCTTATCTAACGTCACGTAAAAGTAACACTTCAGGCACACACCTGAACAGAAAAGACAATGTCTTTTCTCATCCACCAAATGGTTACTTATGTGCACTTATGTTTTTGTCCTACTACATGGTTTCTATGTAATGCATTGTGCATATTTTATATTCTGTGTAACGTTATTAGAATAAATACTTTTTTTTGGTCTTTTGGAGTTAGGGTCTCTTTGTAACCCCAGCTGGCCTGGAACTCACTATGTAGACCAGGCTGGTCTGGAACTCACAGAGATCTGCCTGCCTCTGCCTCCTGAGTGCCTGCATTAGAGGTGTGTACTACTACTACTGGCTAGAATAAATACTTTAAAATTTAAAAAAAAAAAATTTTTGTTTTAGGTGTATGAGTGTTTTGCCTGCGTGTATGAAAGTGCACCCAAGTCATGCAATGCCTGCTGAGGCCGGAAGAAGGTGTTGGATCCCTTGGACCTGGACTTACAGATGGTTGTTAGCCATCACGTGGGTGCTGGGAACTGAACCTGGGTCCTCTGGAGAGCAGTAAGTGCTCTTAACCACTGAGCCATCTCTCCATTCCCCTAGAATAACACTTTAATGTTAACATTTAGTTTCTTGAATTTATGATATACCAATGTTTAGATGTATTTGATTCCCTTGGCAGCTTTGGGCTTCTGATTCTTCTGTAAGGTCTCTGGGGTTTCCTAGCTATCTGGATTTACTAATTATGTGGGTACATGCGCTCTTATGTTTCTTATGTGGTGTATTAGTTGCGTCCATCCTTGACTGAATTGAAAGTACTATGACAAGGACTAAAAGGAGATGCCTAATCCAAAGGTGAATGCACCCTGGATAAAAAGTTTGGACACAGTGTCTGGACTAAGTTAGATTGTTTTGCCTGTGAGCACAGAGTAAAGCAGCTAAAGTACTGTGGGTATTTTTCAATTTTAGAGGATGGTCTGTAGCCAAGAATTCTCTTTTTCACCCTCTGTATAACTCCATCAGTGTCACTACCAACCCAGGTCTCCACAGTGTGCTTCCCTTGGGACGTCCATGCCCCATGCAATAAAGACAGGATGTCAGAGGATGCTGGTACTCTGCCTCTGCAGGACAGGCTGCTTGTTTCCTTTTAGCACACAAGGAAGTTCCACTTATGTACGCAGTTACTCTGAAGATCCTTGCCACCATATGGCTGAATTCCTTGAGTACTCTTAGCACAAAAGTACATCCACACCATTTAGAAGAGAAGTGATTTTAACTCAGGAGTTTTCAGAGTGAGGATGTCCAACAGGATCATGTAGTGCTTTACTCTCCCCAGTAATCCTACAGAAAACAAGACTTACTATCTTCAATGAGGTTTTCAACTTGCATTTTTTTTTCTTTTTGAACACTGTAAAACTTAATGTGGTTAATTGAGCTCAATAAGAAGAACTGAAGAAAGATTATTGTGTGTATTCATTTAGGAAGATGGGTAGGCAGTGGGAAACCAATGGAAGTCAGTTCATCCAATTTCTAATTAAACTACTTTAGTGCAGTGTATAGAAGTGTTTTTCTATTAATATCTTTATCTTGACTTATGTTAGTAAGAAAACAATATCAACAATTCTGCAGTTATCAGTGCCTGAGCAAGGTCAGTTGAAAATTTTAGTTTGTTGACTACTCTCTCTCTTTTTTCAAAAATACCTGGAAGTAGAGAAGTTACAAGAACCAAACTATTGTTAAAAGAAACCAATTTGCTAATGGATTACTGCCAAACTTGGAAATGCTTCAACTACTGAATATCTTTTATTAAGTGATACAATAACCCATTTCTTAAAAGAATTTTGTCTGTAAAGAACCATTGTATTTACATTATCTTCAATTTGAATTTATTCCTAGATCCTCTTAGAGATAAGTGTGTCTCTTCAATCTGGAATCCACAAAAGACTTTATTTTCAGGGTCTTATTACTCAGAGCTCTTTTTAAAGATATTTTTCGGTGTTTTTAAAGGTATAGTTAATATGATCGTTATTATAGTCTGGATGTTGAATTGGATGTTGAATGCCCCCTCCCCACACCCAGGCCAATGTGTTAAAGGATTTGCTTTGTCTCCTGGTATTGGAGGTGGGGACTAGTAAGAGATCTTTAGGTCATATCCTCTAAGGTCTATATCCTTTAGGTCTATATCCTCTTTAGGTCTATATCCTCTTTAGGTCTATATCCTCTAAGCCTGGGGACTCCAGTTTCTTCCTCTCTTTTTGCTTTCATGGGGTGAGTGCTCTCCCTTCCATACATTCCACCCACAATGCTTTGCTGCATCTCAGGTCCAAAGCACTTCTGTCAGCTTGATCTTGCTCTGGATCATAAAAAAAATTGTGTGCTGAATAAAATTTTTTCTTTGTGTGTGCCTTTGTGTGTGTATATGTGTATGTATGCTCGTGTGTGTGTGTGTGTGTGTGTGTGTGTGTGTGTCTACAGGGTTGCATGTATATGTATGTGCTTTTGTACATGTGGAAGCCAGAGGACAACCAGGTGCCATTCCTCAGCTGCCCTACGCTTCTTTTGAGACAGATCTTTCCCTGGCCTGACACTCACAGAGTAAGCAAGGCTGGCCATCTAGAGAGTTCTAAGGACTGTCTGTCTGCTCTGCCTCCTTAGTGCTGGGATTGTCAAATTCGGTTACCATGTCAAACTCTTTTTACACAGGTTCTGGGGATCAAACTCAGATATTCATGCTTGCAAGGCTCTTGGTCTTAGCATTGCCAACAACCAAGTTAGCAGCAGCACAACAGATATGAGATCACTAGAATACCTTTTCTTTTTTTTTTCATTGCTTCCTCCTTCCTTCCTCCTTCCTTCCTTCCTTCCTTCCTTCCTCCTTCCTTCCTTCTTCCCTCCCTCCCTCCTTCCTTCCTTCCTTCTTCCCTCCCTCCCTCCCTCCCTTCCTTCTTCTCTCTTTCTTTCTGTCTTTATCTCTCTATCTCTGTCTCTATCTCTTTTCCCTC